CTCACACACACAAAAAAGATTTCAAGACTCAGCCACATGGCTGAGTGGTTGAAGTTCTGCGCGCTCCACTTTGGCAGCCTGGGTTCGCAGGTTTGGATCCCAGGTGCAGACCTACTCCACTCACCAGCCACGCTGTGGAGGTGTCCCACATACAAAAAAATAGAGGAGGATTGGCACAGGTGTTAGCTCAGGGTGCATCTTCCTCAGAAAAGAAAAAAAAGATTCCAGTTTTTTTTTTTTTTTTTTGAGGAAGATTCGCCCTGAGCTAACATCTGTTGCCAATCCTCCTCTTTTTGCTGAGGAAGACTGGCCCTGAGCTATCATCCGTGCCCATCTTCCTCTACTTTATATGTGGGATTCCTGCCACAGCATGGCTTGCCAGGTGGTGTCATGTCCACACCTGGGGTCTGAAGCAGCGAACTCCGGGCCACCAAAGTGGAACGTGCACACTTAACCGCTGCGCCACCAGGCTGGCCCCAGATTCCAGTTATTTGGTGCAATTTTCTGTCTTATTCTCTATTACTGAATATGTTAACCACAATTATTATTATTTTTTTTTCTGAGGAAGATTAGCCCTGAGCTAACATCTGTGCCAGTCTTCCTTTGCTTTACATGTGGGTTGCCACCACAGCATGGATGACAAGTGGTGTATGTCTGTGCCCGGAATCTGAACCTTTGAACCTGGGCTACTAAAGCAGAATGTGCCGAACTTGACCACTATGCCATGGGGCTGGCCCTCCTTAACCACGATTATTTTAAAGTGTGCACCTAACAACACTACCAATATCCATATTATTTGTGAGTTTGTTTCTGTTGTCTTTTCAGTTGATCCTGTTGTTTAGTCTGGTAGTTTGTAAATGATTGCTTGTCACTGTGTACGGAAAGTTTTAGAAGCTCTGGATTATCTCATTCTCCAGAGGGGTTTCACCTTATCCTCTGACAGGCGCAGAGTGGTGGCTGACTCAAGGCTGTGTTGAGGTTTTGTTAACTCTGCTCCTACCTTTGGGTGGCCTCTGCCCTTGGAGTGTAGCCTCCAGTGATCTCAGTCGAAAGCTCGGTGTGTTATTTAGAGCCTGTCTTCTCTGGTGGCTCCTGAACACGAAGTTTTGTCTCTTATATATCTTGAGACTTCCAAAACTTCTCTCCTACTTTTCAGGGGCTTTCTTCTTAGCTTCTTGTCCTCTCGTCCTACACAGCTGAAGAATTCAGCTGAGGGTCAAGCTCACCTCCCTTTTCACCTCTCTTCTCCCCAGGACTTGGCCTCTATTTCTTTACCTGAGTTCTCTATATGTAATAGAATATAAATTCTTTCTTATAAAAGTCCCTTCTCTCATTCTTTAAGACTTCATCTCAGAGTCTGTATTAAATTAATTCCAGATAACCTTCTTTTCATGTCCTTTTTTAAAATCTAGAATGAAAATTTTATATTATTCTCTTACCTTTCTTCTCTTGGGGTCCTCAAGTCCTGGCTGCATTGGCAGCCACACATTTTAACTTGTATGTCTGCAGTTTCATAAGATTTCCAGAGGCTCCACTGGGTTCCTTCCCTCCAGCCAGCAGCTCTGTGCCCAAATTCTCAGCTGCCTTGTGCCGAGAAGAAGAGTGGCAGATGTGCTAAGGGTTACAGTTCCTAGAATGTTGGATGGCTCCTCTGTGGCTTCCTTCTGTCTAGTATCTTAACCATTCAATTCTTGGTGGTCTCAGCAGCTCTCCAGTACCTTTAAATTGATTTTTAATTTTATTGTATCAGACTTTCCAGTTGCTCCTGGTGGGAGCATTGTATACCCAAACTTCTCCATCATAGCCAGAAGCTATGCTTAAATTTAATGTTTTCATTATTTTACTTAAAGAAAAACTTGTCAGTTAAATGTGAATGAAAAAGTAATGCATTAACACAATAAAAATTACGCAAACGATAATAAAAAGTTACCTCTCCAGTATTCCAGTCTTAGAGTCTTTTTCTCTGGAGGCAACGTTGCAGTTTCTTATACATCTGTCTATATATATCATGTGTACATATGTACATGTATGTATATATCCCTCTTGCTAACATATTTTAAATTTTAATTATGAAATACTTCACACGTGCTAAAAAGAATGGAGAATGTAACAAAAATCCTTGTACCCACAATCCAGGTTTAAGAAATGTTAACATTTTACCATATTTCTTTAGATCCTTTTTTCCTTAAGAAATAAAATGGTGTAATGTCATTGAATCCCTGTTTTTAAAATCTACCAGTTCTTATTATAATTCTCTTTTTTCCAATCAGTATGATTTTCAAGATTTATCATGTTCACATGTGCAGATGCCCTTCATTCATTCTAATTTACGTGTGTTATTCCTTAGATTACTCCCCTGCCAAACCCTCTTGTTTTGTTATTTGTTTTGTCTTTTTTACATAAATGTTAACATATTGTACCATATATTCTGGACTTTACTTTTCTCACAGAACTTGTTTATGGTTAAAATATGTGATAGTAAGATTTATTTTGCACCCCTTCCTGACTTATGGAAAAGTAAAAAAAAAATATATGTATATATATATTCATCTCAGAATCTGTATTAAAGTAATTCCAGATAATTGTATATAGGGGGACAAGTTTATGAGAATCTTTAATGTCAATGCTACAGTGAGGATTGTACAGAACATTTTGATGGATTCCAGACATATTCTGAACCTTTGGTATATCCCAAGATTTACATATAGTCTATTTAGGAAAAATAGAAATTAACCTGGTCTTGGTTTCCTTACCTAAGTACTCCATATATAACATAATATTTCATACCTAATATAATATAATATTTCACATACAATGTGTTACATACAACATAATGTAACATAAATGTTTCTCTTTAAAAAAGTTTCTTCTCTCATTGTTCTTAAGACTTCACTTGAGAACATGTATTAAATTAGTTTAAGAAATTTAGTTGCTGACAAGCTTTTTTTTCATCTTTTTATTTAATTTAGCAAATTGTTAGGTGCTTTAAGATTGGCAATGTATATTATTCTCTTATTTCTATTCCTTTTTTAGGTCTGCAATACTTTGATAGCATTTTACTCCATTAAGATTTATTGATTCGTTTTATGTGCTTAGCTCTTTGCTAAGTAATATTGTGGATAGTCATGGAAATAATTAATGGTCCACATGGAGGTTAAAATTTAATTGAAGAGAAATGAATTGATCATTAAACCACACTAAAGTGCTAATGGTTTGAGGTGAGATTTGGAGTGGACCATAAAGGATAACGAAGATTTGATTTTGGAAAGCAGAGAGGGGAGGATCTTTATGAACAAGAACTCAGATGTGAATACAAGAGGTGAAGAATGAAGAGTTTAACCATTCTATAGCTCAGGGTATACATTTGGGATAATGGGAAATTAAGTAGAATAGGAGATGGTCGTCAGTAGACCAAGAAGTTGAGAATTGATGAAGTAGATAGTAGGATGCCCATATCAATTTCAAGTAAGTTAGAAGATGCAATCAGCGTTTTAGGAAGCTGAGTGGATCAGAGCAAGGGGAGGGAGATCAAGTAGAAGGCCTTGAAGAAATTTGGAAAGTTCAACCAGATACAGCCTTCAGAGAGGCCTCTGCACTTTGGCCCAGTAGTTCCATTTTTAAGACTTCCAGGAAAGTATTCCAAAATGTGTGATGTCTGAAGAACAAAGAACTGGATCATGGCAACAATTTGAAGTAACTTGTTTTTTTTTCACATATTCCTGCTTCCTGCTACCTTTTTACTTCAAATCCCAGTGAGTCCAGGGGTGGGGAATTTTCCTGCAGTCTGAAGCAGTGATTGGATTCCCCTGAATTGAAAGATGTGGAAGCCCCAGATTCTTAACCAGGGAACTCTGGAGGGTACATAGAGGAGCTTCTGGGGTTCATGAATTTTCTGAAATTACATGAAAGATTTCAGATTATTTATATTTTCTAGACAGAGAGTTTCAGTTTATGAAAGAACTCTGTGATCTCTCTCAAATTAATAACATCACTTAAAAGATTTACTTCCTACACATCTCAATCTTATCTCTTCAGAGACTTCTGGAACCAAATAGAAAGAAGCCAAGTGATTATATTATGTTGAACCATATGAAATTGCCAATATCTAATTTAGTAGTTTTGACATACAAAAATAGCAATTTCATATCATCTAACCTAATATATCTTTAAATAGCTTTTTTGTACTTTTTAAATATAAAGGTATTCATTTTAGGAGTGTAGGTGTTAGTTAAGCAGTATATTTTGTACTTAAATATACTTAGTTATTTCAATAAGGTAGTTATGTTCTGGTTATATTTCCTCAGTTTCTACATTCCATGAACTTAATACCTTTAGATATGTACCTTTTCAATTTATGCAATATTAGGAGTATTTCTCTTGTGTATTTAAGGTTTCTACTGTGGTAAAAGGACAGGGAAATGAAGGAAAGAAAAATGAAAGATAGGGGAACAGAAAAGGTATATGGTACAGTATAAGAATAGCAAATAGGTTCAAATTGTTCAGTAACTGACTATTGGTTAGGCTCTGCCCCGAGCTCCTCGGTAATGAAAATTCTTAGGCTCCTCTGGCTCAGGGGTACAAGGCGAGCGCCATGATGGATCTGCCTGTCTGCTGTGTCTGCCAATGAGCATGGAAGGGCTGTGCGGTGGACTCACAACACTAGTATGCTGTTCCATTCATTCTGTTGATCTAATCAGAATTTCTTTGTTAGCCAGAGTATTAACGTTTCTTCAAAATGATGGATTATATGACTATCATAAGTATAGTTTGGCAGTTAAAACTTTGAGTCAAGAACACCAAATTTAACTATAAGCTGTTTCTTAGAAGAGTTCTGATAACCAGCAATAATACACTTTAGCTTGAAGTTTCTTTTTTTCTTTTGTTTTGTTTTTTCATTTTCTCGTTTCACCATTCTTTTATTTTCAATTCAGCAAAAAAACAAGAAAAAATATAATTGAAATGAGGAGACATTTTAAACCTAACTTTTTTTTCCTTTTTAGGTTGCTTTCTGAGTCTAAACAGCACAACATTTTAAGAAAAGCAAGATCTTATATAAAACAGAGAAAGTATGATGAAGCAGTAAGTATGCAGGCCTTGTTATGTAAACAGCTGATCATCATTTTGGATACGGGGAGGGGCAAAGTATGGCCATGGAGAGCACAGTGGGCAGGCCAGGGAGCTTTCCTGAACCCTCAAGATAGGATTGTATTTCCTAAGTAGCTGCTTTTGCCATGGGCATACTTCTCTTGTTTCAGATAATGTTATGGGTAAACTTTTTTAGGTTAGCATTGGAAATGAACAATTGCCATTTGCTATGATGACAAAGTGTATTCCAGGTTTCTATCACCTTACTTATGCATAATATTTTAGAACATGCCATATTTGTACATTTGGAATTATCTACACACTATCAGAAGTCTAATATTTATATTGAAGCTTTGACTCCTCCCGGCTCCTACCCTACTATGTTTTTCATTGACTTTCTCTTTGTTAAATGGTCACATAATTTTAAACTATGATAGAATTCTATTAGTAGTTTCTAAAATTGCCTGAGTAATACCATGTATTTCTAATGCTTATTTTTGTATTGCTTTTAAAATGGTAAGCTGTTCTCCTCCTCCAAAATACTAAGCTATTTTAATGATGTTTTATTACTGATTTGGGTAGTCTGATATGAGAAAGTAAAAAAATGATATAAATGTGGGCATCTCTTTTATTTGGGACGTCTAGTAGAGGGCCTTCATTTCTTTCTTTCATGTACTCTGAAAATAATTTCCACAAAATGAATGATTTTAAATCGCTATATTAAATCACAGATAGATGCATTTAAAATGCCCTTTCTTATCAAGATTTATAGATTTTTGTTTGTTTGAGGAAGATTAGCCTTGAGCTAACATCCGCTGCCAATCCTCCTCTTTTTGCTGAGGAAGATAGGCCCTGAACTAACATCTATGCCCATCTTCCTCTACTTTATATGTGGGACGCCTGCCACAGCATGGCTTGACAAGCGGTGCCGTATCCATACCCGGGATCCGAACTAGCAAACCCCAGGCCTCCGAAGCGGAATGAGCGAACTTAACTGCTGTGCTACTGGGCTGGCCCCTCTTATCAAGATTTAAACATTCATTTTATTCAGGAATTTTTCTTCTACTTTGCAAGAAGATCCTCGAACAATTAAAATCTGTTCTTGATCAGGCATCTACACTCACTCTAATTTTAATAATTTTCCTTCCTTTGACACTTAGGTTTTCTTATTCTTTCCATGTGGCAAGTTATATTTTTCTTTCTCTGTAGATCTCCCTTTGCAAGGAGCTGATTCATCTTGCATTGAAAGGATTGTCCTATTATCACACTTACGACAGATTCTTTTTGGGCATCACCGTTGTTCTTGGTTTCGTGGGATGGACATCTTATGCTTCTTTGTTGATCCTTAAGTTTCATTCCAACCTTCCCAGAGGTGGTAGTAAAGAAGTTAAGGTATGTTCAGAAACTATAATGGAGATTCAGATGATGGTGTAAAATCACTAGGACTGAGGAAAGAAATCAAATCAAATCACTTGTAATGAGTTCATACAGTGTGCAGGTTGATGCAGCTAACTCTTATCTTTTACTTGCTTTTCTTCTTTTTTTCTCAATTATCTCTGTTTCTTTAGTTGGGAAAAGAGTGTATTAATAATAATGGCCCTTTAACTGAAGCGGCCTATAAAGATACCTGTATAATTTAAATTCTCCTGTGACACTGTGTTGATTTTCTGTTCTTTTCTGTGATTATTTCCCATGTTGTAAGTATTCCATATCTTTCTAGTACAGGTGATCAGAAAACTACTTCAAAGCAATATATTTAACTTTATCTGATATTAAAAGAATAGGAGCTGGAAAGCAACAAATCACTATTCAAAAGGCTTCTTTTTAAATAATGTATATGTTTTCTGGAACTGTTCTTACCTTATTTCAACTTTATGAAATTCTTAAATACAAATTTCCAGAACTTTCTATTTATCCTCATTTTAAGAATTAGTCCCTAGTTTACTTTTTCAATGCAGAAAAAAACCTCTAATAGTGTTTCATATAAATGAGAAAATATAACAGTACATATATGGTTTTACTACGTTAAAACACTTTACTCTTTTAAAATATGTTGCTGACTTTCCAGATAGGATATTATTAATAATAACAGTCTGCAAACATTTCCAGTGGTAACTTTTTACAATTTTATATTTTATTTTTCTGTAATAGAAGGAGAACAGTAGTGTTTTTTCCCAGTTTTTTATAGTACTTTAATACATCTTAAATAATTTCCTGCAAGTAATTTTCATTATTTGAATGTATGTGAAATTGTCTAGAATAGGAATAATTTCTCACATGGTAGGAAAAGAGACAGAAACAATCGTGTTTTAGTAATGGATATGTCTTGGCATTCTGCTAGGTAGTTTAAGTTTATTTTGCCATTTTAAACTCATAACAATGCTGAAAGTAGGATTATAATTTCTCTTTACAAAAGAGGAAACAAGCTGTTTAAATAACTTGCAAAAGGCCACTCAGCTAGGATGTGGAGGAGCTGAGGTTTGAGTCCAGAATAGTCTTGTGCCAGATGCTGCCTTTTCATATTCATCTTGATGTTTGGGCTATTGTGAAAGGATATGTCTTTAGGTTGATGTGTCAGCAGTTTTATAGCTGATAGTTCTTCTTTATTATTAATCTGATAATACAGCAAATATTTAATTGAGTGTACAGTACAATACTAGATGCTGCATAGGCTATACAAAGAAATGTAAAATTCAGATTCTGTTCTCAAGAAGCTTAGAATTAAGTAAAGTAGGTAAGAGATGTACACACATAACCACCTTATCAGACACAGGTCACTATACTACACACGTTATAAAAGACAACTTTAACATTTAACAATTTTAATATATGTTAGGTTTAGCGTGATGCAAAGATTATCCTATTTTAAATAAAGGAGAGCTCACTTTAGCTAGGGTGATGATAACAGGAAAAAGTAAGTCTTGGTGGAACTTTAACACTCAGACTATAAGGAGATGAGAATTAAAGCAAATAGAATCATATAAACAGAGGCAGAGCTGGGAAAATGTATTATGCTGGGATAATAGGTAATGTTTCTTGAGCCCCTCCATTCCAGGACTGTCCCCGGTGCTTTACGTGCGCTATTCAGTTAAGCTTAACACTACCCTAAATTTGGTAGTTATGATTATCATTATATAGTTGGGGGAATTTAGGCTCAGAGAGAGATATATTTTCTTTAAGGACACACTGATGTTAATGACAGAACTAATATTTTGTAATACTTAAATTTATGCTCTTTCTATACCATGCTGCCTTCAAAATAAATAGTTCAAGTTGGGGAGAATGTGGGAAGTTTGTTCAAGTGCCTATTAAGAGCTAATACTGACAATATAGATTAGACTGAACTAATCAAAGGCCTCAAACGCTGGACTATAGGCGTTAGACTTTATTTAGTTGGCGTATCAGCTAGTTCTCTGTGACAGAGAAACAGACCCAGTAAAATCTACGTATTAAGAGACTGAGTGTGTGGTGCCAGCTGGGTGGCACAGCAGTTAAGTGCACACATTCTGCTTTGGCAGCCCAGGATTTGCCAGTTCGGATCCCAGGTGCAGATATGGCACTGCATGGCAAGCCATGCTGTGGCAGGCGTCCCACATATAAAGTAGAGGAAGATGGGCATTGATGTTAGCTCAGGGCCAGCCTTCCTCAGCAAAAAGAGGAGGATTGGCAGCAGTTAGCTCAGGGCTAATCTTCCTCAAAAAAAAAAAAAGAGAGAGACTGAGTATAAGGAATTGGCTTATGTGATTGTGGGGACTAGTTAGGCAAGAGGCCTAAATCCATAGGTCAGGCCATCAGGAAGCGCAGACTGGAAAACTTGCAGACAGGATCGGAAGCTGCACTCAACAGGTGCAGTGTCTTCCTCGGGGAAGCCTCCGTTCTGCTCTTAAAGCCTTTCAGCTGATTGAATTGGGCCCACTCCAATTATCTAGGATAATCTCCCTCACTTAAAGTCAACTGATTATGGACTCTAATCACATCTACAAGATACTTTCACAGCAACACTAGATTAGTGTTTGATTGAATAACTGGGGACTATAGCCTAGCCAAGTTGACACATAAACCTGACCATTACAGTTGAGGTCATTGCAAGTATTTTGAACACTTTGATTCTGTTGGCAAAAACATTCTGATTCCTCTTCAGTGAGTTTATAATCTGGTGAAATGACACAATCTAAACAATTGGGAAGAAAGACTAAAATGCCAGTAGTTGATAGCAGTGATGAAGGGAGGCGTGGAGAACGGTTAGGAGGTACGGGGAGTGCAGCTGTGCACGTATTAGGGTATGATGCTTGCAGTTGGGGTGCAGGCAGGCTTCGCAGAGGAGGTTATTGCTGAAGTGAAATCTTAAAAGGTAAGTAGGCTAGCCCAGTAGGAAAAAAGGAAAAGACACGCAGAGAGCGGCGTCTGTCAGTTGAGGAGAGAGGCAGCACAGCTTGGAAGAGCGGCAAGTCTTCAACAGGGCCAGACTCTAGAGGGCCTGGCGGGAGCGAGAGTTGAGCTGCAGCACGTGTTATCCTCCATTGCCGCATGAGGAAGCCGCTTCAGACACGCTAATGCTGTAGTCAAACTGACAAGCAAGTAGAATGGCAGCACTGGAATTAAATTTAGGTCTGACTCCAAAGTTTATGTCAATTCTACATGACAGTGTCCCCAGATTATACAGGTCGTTTCTAATTTATCACTGTTACAGGCAAGTATGCAGCGAATATTCTGTTTTCTTTAAATGTAATTTGCCGCAGCTGCTCTGACTTGAACTCTGCATTTCACTTCCATAGTCTCTTTTCCTTTGCTTCTGCCAGGTCAGATGTCTTTTGCTTTAGAACAAAATATCTTTGTTTTGCCATACGCTTTCCCTTGTTCTCTTATTAACTCGTAAAATCCCCAAATATTAATCCCTTAAACCAATCCCATGATTCAGTCTCCACCTGTATGGTTTAAACTCCTTGAAGGCCCGTACCTAGTACTGACCATAGCATAGAGTATGCGACTTATTAAATGTTTCCTGGTTGCAGGAGTAATCAATGCACATGGCATGGTTCATTATTGTCAGGTGTTTTTGGGGGAGCCGAAGAGAGGCGGGGAGTCAATTCATGATGAAGTAGAAAATGTCTGCCACTCTCGTTATTTGCAAATCCTTTCAATTTTTACTTCAGCTGAACCAAATTCTTTATGATTTAGCTTCCAACAAGTAGATGTCATTTGTAATGTCTATTACTTTATATATCAAGGGATTAGGTAATTATACCGTATTGTACTGACGCTAGAAAATTCCTTGAGTATTTTTTTAGGTACTCCTTTAAACTTCTTTTCTTATTATTTTACTGTTCTCAAAATGATGTGAAACCAGTCTCACCTGTTACAAGGAATACACACCTCAGCCACCTTCAGTTTCAGAGACTCCACCTGTCCACACCCATTTGGTATTTGCTCCTTCCCCTTCCGTCCCCTTGCTTTGGGACCTCCATTGCTAGCTCAAACATTCATTTCCAGCTATTCACTGAAGGGTTTCTGTAGTGACTTCTGGGACTAATGCAGAAAAGTAGAAGAGGAAAGAATAAAAATAAAGTTAATAATAGCAGCCATTATTTATTAAACAGTAGTAATATTTTGGGCATTTTGTTAACTTCTTTACATAATCTCATTTAAGCATTACCAATGTTGATAAATACATATGGAATCATTCTCATTTTATAGATGGGGTGAAATTAAGCCTCAGAAAAGTTTTGTACTTTGCTCATGGTCATGTAGTGAGCAAGTGACAGAGCCAGGATCTGAATTCTTACCTATGTAGCTCCAAACTCTTAAACACAATGCTGTGTTTCACCTTCTTTTTACAACTATGCCCTAGTTTCTCTTTGCTTCTTACTTCTTTCCTGGTGACATTTTATTCCAGTAGGGAGGAATTATAAAGAGGAAAAAAGTTTTGTGCTTTTCCTCTCTAAATTCCCCTACTCTGGAAGGTAATTCTTAATTCTCAGCTTATTTAGCTTTGGCTAGCAAAGCCAGGGGAAAATAGAGAAAACAAGGAACAGGGGCCGGAGAGCACCACATTGCCCCTCCATTCCTGGTTTTGTTCTCCTGTACTATTCTTAGCATCATACCTTTCCATAATCATTATGTATGTGATTCATATCAGTATATATGTGATACTGTTCTTAGCATCACTGCTTTCCCAGTCATTGGAACTTCTGTCCCTGACGCTTGCATCATTACTCCTGGCCCAGAGCACCCATGGGCCTGCGTAGCCCATGGAGGCCATCACTGGTGACTTACATTGAGGAACTCCTTTCTTGCTTGGCAGGTGGTTGGGAAGAGGAGATATGACTGAATGAATCTACTGTGGTTGGTCAGTGGAGAGAGAAGCGTGGGCAGCATGTCAAGTTGGAGTTTGAATAGATGGAAGCATTGTCCCAAGTGAAAATAAGGCACATAGTTTCTTGTGGATTAAATGGGTTTTTGTAAGCTAGTCAGAGAATTCAATCAGCATTTATAAAATTGTTACTAAGGAGAAAGATGTTCAGAGTTCCGAACAAGTTACTTGCAAACAAACTTGGAACATAAGCACTTTTAAACTGAGAATTGCTTAATTGCAGCAATTCCAGGCTATCTAGCCTTTTCTTCTGGAATATGCTGCTTTAATGGCAGATTTCTTAAAATGCAGTTCTTAGATTAATCATCTAGTTGTAGAACCACTGGGAAAAAAGTAATATAGTTTCTTCACTTTATAAAATCTCTTAAAAGCCTATCAATTAGCATGAATTTGGAAGTGTTTCAACGTTTTGTTTGATTTTCAGAAACCAAGCCGTCTCCTGCAATATAGTTTTGTAGCTATTGGTGTTTTAGTAGCATTTTTCCTGCTGATTCAAGCATATCCCTGGACTTATTACATCTATTGTTTATTGCCAGTGCCAATATGGTATGCGGTTCTAAGAGAGTAAGTAACACATCTTGCTGTCTTGTTTTTTCACTTCACTGATAATTAAATCTGTATTTAAAATGCATTAGATTTCTGTAGCATAAGTCATCAAAGATATTTATAATACCCTCAAATCTCCAGGCCCTCTCACTTCATTTATAATAGTGTAGATGTTGCATATAAACATCCTTTTTGTTTTACCATTCCCTTTTGACTTCATCTTTATTGCCCTGAAGTAGCATTGACTTTGTTCCCTTCTTTGGGTACCTTTTATAAGAAAAATCTGGAATAAAAATAAAATAATTAATATCGTTTGTACCATACCAGGAGTAGCTTAGATTTTGAACTTGTCTCACCATCTCAGATTCCAGTGTATCTTTGTGTTTCATGAAGAAATTTGCATAGTTTCTTTCCAAACATTTTTGCCCCTCCTTTCCTATCCATCATGTAAACCTAGATAAATGAAGCTTTGTAATGAAACCCAATCTAGTAATGCGTGCATACAAAGAGGAGTGGATATTACTCACGTGTGCTGAGTGCTTCTGCACAAGTGGATTTCAAAGGGATTCTTAGAAAACATCAGAGGTGGGGATCTCAGGCAAGTTTCAAGCACTTTGAAGTAAAACCACTAAAACGTTGTGCTGGTTCCTGGTCACAGGCAGCGAGGGTCACGTTGCAGATCTTGTTGATTTCTATATTTGCACCAATAATCTAGAATTTAAACTTAGTCTTGGATATCCAAGGATCCTCTGAGAAAACCAGACCCCTAAAACAGCCCAGGGAGTGAGAACCCAGAATAAAAGGGTATTTTCAGCGTTGGCTAGCATGTGTGTCATTTTTTATACAATTTACATTTTTTATACATTTTTTATACATTTTATACTTTATACATTTTTTATACATTTTATAAAAAAATACAACGTGTATTTTTTTCTAATTTTTGCTAACTCCAGCTTTGACCATCTCTTCCATTCTTTAAAAACGTTAAGTTTTAAAAATATTAAAATGTTAAAAATGTAGAAAATAAAATTAATATTGAAATATTTATTAGCATCTTAAGATATAAAGCAAAAAGACACTGACAAAAGAACATGCTGTTACTTCTCCATTTGAAAGGAATAGGGTTGCTAGATATACATATTTAAATCATATATTTTTTTCTAATGTCATTTAATCTGCTTTTAAAATTTTAGAATGAAAAGTTTTATCCTTATAGAAAATTCAGTTTTCTACAGAACCCCTCCTGAATTAAATGTACTAATTATGAAGATGACATGTATGTTTAAATTTTAAGGGAAAATGTGATTTTGAAAGTATGTTGCGGGCCGGCCCCATGGCCGAGTGGTTAACTTCTCGTGCTCTGCTTGGGCGGCCCAGGGTTTTGCTGGTTCAGATCCCGGGTGCGGACATGGCACTGCTCATCAGGCCATGCTGAGGCAGCATCCCACATAGCACAGCCAGAGGCACTCACAACCAGAATATACACCTATGTGCTGGGGAGCATTGGGGAGAAGAAAAAAAAAGAAGATTGGCAAAACTTGTTAGCTCAGGTGCCAATCATAAAAAAAAGGTATGTTGTATTCTTTCTTCTTGATAGATTATATAGAAAATAAAACACAGAAATTCACTTTCCTCTAGAAAAAAATCTTTTAAATGATTTAACAAAATCCTCTCTTGTTTCTCTATGCTTATTCACTGTTGAGAACAAAAGAAACATCCTCGTTTTGACTGATGTTAGCTTTTCTTTCCTACATGACACCTTAATAGTTTTGATAATATTATGTAGCCATTGTTTTCAATCAGAAAACAGTCATAAACCAAATCATACTGACTTTCCTAATTAACTATTTAATAATGCACTACAAATGCTAGTTTTTTTTTCTAGAAATGAAATGTAAAATGTACTCAAGTATGTCACGCATTTTTAATGGTTATGTATTCACATTTAATTACAATTAGTGTATAATTTAGTGACATCTTAAATTGGGTTTGGAAAAGGTTATTTAACTCAGTGAAAAAGTGCAATAAAGATTTTCTCTACCTAGGGCCGGCCCCGTGGCCAAGTGGTTAAGTTCACATGCTCCGCTTCAGGGGCCCAGGGTTTTACCAGTTCAGATCCTAGGCACAGACATGGCACTGCTCATCAGGCTATACTGAGGTGGCCTCCCACATAGCACAACCAGAAACACTCACAACTAGAATATACAACTATGAACTGGGGGGCTTTGGGGAGAAGAAAAAAAAAAGAGTGGTAACAGATGTTAGCTCAGGTGCCAATCTTTAAAAAAAAAAAGATTTACTCTACCTAGATTAGGAAAGTCTACCTTTATTTCATTAAGATAGATGAGATTTCAGTATAAGATTAACCTTGGTGAATTTAAAAATTTTTTCAGTTTTATTCGTTTGAGTTCATTGTATTTTATTTCTGGTATTATATCTGTAATTGCATGTACCCATGTTTAAACTAAGATCAAACAAGACATTTCTTGTCATTGATGTTTATAAAAACCAAGCAAATTTTTGTGGTTATAGCAAATTAATTCAGAAATTGCAGTTTTTCCTAAAATACTTCTAGATTTAAAAAAAATAATTTAGGTAATCAAAGCCATTGAAATAAATCTTTTCAAGATTATCTCAGTTTTTGAATAATGAAAATTCCCTGATTTCTAGCTCTGTGGAATGTTTTTATTTTTTATTATTTATGACCCAATATGTGATTCAATATGGAGTGTAAATAATCTTTTTATGAATAATCTCGTTAAACAGATTTCAAGTTATTCAAGACCTTGTTGCATCACTCTTGAGCTGCCCTCCGAGTCATTTTGTTGGATACCTGTTAGTCTCTACCCTGGGAATTGAAGTATTAGTAAGTCATTAACCACATTACAACATTTTCAGATTGCTTTCATATATATGTAACTCCTTTTAAATGACCTGATTTTTCATTTCTTCTTTGGAATGCATTTCTAGGTTCTCAGTTTTTTCTACCGCTATATGCTTACAGCTGGACTTATTGCGTTTGCGGGTTGGCCATTTATCACTCAGTTGTGGACTCGAGCAAAGGTATAAGTACTCATTTTGACACTAGACAGGTTAGGAGCTACTTTGTTTTGATATGTGTTTGACTCAGGGAATTGTTCATTTTTAGAGAAAAGGGCACAGTGAGTCCTTGCGTAAAGAGCCTGGTCCTTTTGACAGGAGGACTAAGGCTGCCTTTAAAGTTTCAGTGATTCAAATAGACTCGCGTGTCAAAATGAGCTGGTCGTGTGGTGATTGAAATACTCTGGAAGCGGAGCTGGTAGGTCTTCCTCTGAAGCATTTCCTGAATTCCTTTAGCCTCGGATGTCTAAATGGTGGAGCAGCTGAGGAGCTGCCCAGAGCAGCGCAGTGGCAGAGGGGGCCACGCTCTGAGCTTGAGTGAGAGGAGTCACCTCTCTCCTGGCCCTGAGCCACCTTGTGTTTTTTCTGGAGAAGTATATATTCATGATAGATTATTTTAAAATATAATTATTCCTGATTTCCTTCCTTTAGGTAGGGAATTACAATGTGCTTCTACAGTGAATACTCTCATGTTTCCGCTTTAATACTTTGATGGAGGTAGCGGCAGATGGAAATATCTTCTTTCGACCCTATGAGAACTTATACAGTTCTCCAATTAAAAGTATTTTCACTTATTTCCCTCCTTGGCTCAATCATTTGATTATGGTTGCAGGCCAACTTTCTTACAGATGTAATCGATATATGGTATAACATAAATTGAATGAATGCTTTGAAATATCAGGCCCAGGTTTAAATCCTGGTTGTTTCATTTACTAGTCATAGACCTGATGCTACTTATGTTTTAACATCTCTGAGCTCAGTTTCCTCATCTGAAATATTGTGAATAATAAAAGCTACCACTTGAGGTTATTGTGACAATAAAAGATAACACTCATATTATACCTAACATGGTACCTACTCTATGACAGATCCTTCACAAATAGTAACTGTATTACTGTTTGAAGGAAATAGGTGTAAGCCTTTGCATTTTCCATGTAGTCTGTGAAACAGTGAAGACAGTTTTCTTAACCATATTTGTCTAAAGGTAACTTTTTCTTTATTTTAGAGGACCTCACTGAATTGGATTTTCTTCTCTTTGCTCCTGGCAGTGTTCCCTCTGATGCCTGTTGTAGGACGAAAGCCAGATATCTCTCTAGTGTATGAACAATATTTTAACTTATTTTCTTTTCAATACAATTGTTTTTCTCAATTAACACTGTGACATATGAACCTAATCTTGGTTATGAGTTTAAAATTACGTGAACAAACTGGAAGTTAAAATGCTAATATCAAACCATTAGTCATAATTTTGGCCCAGGCTCTGAGAGTCATTACAGCTCTCTGGAGATGCTTCTGGGCCTTCACAAAAAATGAAATTGTACCAAACAGTGATAACTTAAAATGCAAAGAATAAAAGGTCTAGAAGGTTTTGTATTTTCTCTATATTGGGGAATTAGTAAAAGGTTTCATATGAAAAAATGTTTCTGTTGCCAAAACAAAAAGGTCAAAAAACCATTGATATAATGCTATGTTTGCCTTGGAGCATGTCCACAGTTTAAAAGTCTTATAAAAATGAAATTTTCTCCTATTCTAATCTGAATTTAAAGATGTCCATGGGGAGAAACTCTGTCTTGACAATTTTCCCATGTTTAATCATTTAAATTGTTAGAAAAGTCTATATACCTTACCTGAATTCTCCATGCTGCTGTTGTATTTACTTCTCCTCAATATATCCTAAATAAATGTGTAAAATAGTTGGTTACCTTTACTTTTAACTTTGCTTTTAAATTATTATCAAGTAATCTACTGGCTCTGTGTATGTGTGTGTGTGCATGCATGGGCTTGCCAAGTTAAATGATCGTTATTTCATTTACCATTTTCTCTCTTATTTTTAAATCATGTAATCACATTACTTTCTTTTGAACTCTGTATAAGAGCATTTTTTTTAGCATTTTAACCTAATCTTTAATCAATGAGGGTAAATCTATTTTAGCTGAAGGAAGATTAACTAAATGTTTTTTAAAGTATGTGCTAATTTGTGAGGCTCTACACACTTATCTCATTTCTGTAAGAATACTAATATGGACTAGATAACGAATTATTCCAGGAAGTCAGTTTATTATCACAGCCCCAAATAATTGTATTGAATTCTAAGACCATACTACCTAATCCATACTTTATTAGTGTTACTAAGTAAAAACATTTTGCAGCTATCATACACTACAAATAGTATGTGAGAGGATGAATTCAAATATTTTCATTTATTTCTTGCTTCGTGTTGCTCTGTGAGCTCTTCTCTTGTCTCTGGAAAGCGCCTTTCCATCCTTTAATCAGCGTCTGCCTGTCTGTCCTGCTCTAACAGTATTGACGTGGTTGAGCAGAATTTATCATGTGTTAAAAGGAAAAGAAATTGTGTAAATGGTCTTCGTAGAAATTTGCCACTTGCATATTGTAGTAAAGATGAATTCAGGAAGCAAACTTGTTAAAACGTGAGAAATTTAATTTGTATTTTTAAAAATTATGTTGTTTCCTTCTATACTTCTTAAATTCCTCAGTGATTTGTTTGTGTGGATTTCCTAGTAGCTATATTTGGAACTTCTTTATTTTTACTCCTCGTTCATGGAGAAATTTCTGCTCTCCATTTGATCTATCACCTCACCTCCCTTCTTTAGAAAATTGCAGTGCAAGATATGTGAAAACATGGATAAAATTAAAAGAAAAAGCAAAAATATATATAACATAGTGGTAATATCCTTGTTACTCTAGTTCTCTGAAGTAAAAACATATCTGTCAGTGAATTAAAATACAAAATTATTTTTAAAAAAGCAAAAGCAAACAAAGAATCTTGATCATACGTGGCTATTTTTCATAAGTTTTAATGATAGTCCATGTTGAATGCGTAACTACTTTTTTCCCTTATGATTCGCAAAGAGGATATTAGAAAAATAAATAAAAAACAAACACGCATTTTCCTGGGAATTCCTGCTTTGCGGTCTTCTTAGCCCTGCCCTTTGCTCTTTCTCATTTCTCTTAAACCAACTCCTTTTTGTTCTGTTATGTTGCTGGTTCCGGATTCTGTCCTCAATTTCAGTCATCCTATGTTATTCAGATTTTTAGGAGATGAGAGTCAGAGTTCAGCATTAGTATACCGTTTCCTTGATGTCAGTTTCCTTCGACTTCAGAAACCATACTATAGCTGGTGTTCTTGAAATAGTAGAATTTGTTGTTTCATTACTGTACAAAGTGCCTCCCTTGCATGTTTCCTTGTGACTGCTGTCTTATGTCTTACTCTTCCTTTAGCCAGGAATAGCTGAGGAAAGCACCAAGGTCAATGATAAAAAGGAGCAATTTGTTGTGCTAGGAGTAGTATGGATTATAAATACAGATCCTTTTTGTATGAGTTAAATGCTTATAGTCAGAAAAATGTGTGTTTTAGATACTGATGATATGTTTGTTTAGCTATCTTTTATATTGTTTTCTGTAAATTTTTCCAGTCAGGCTAAGAGTAATGGTAAATGGTATACATAAAAGTTTTAAAAATCAAATTATAGAAATAAGATAAAGATACTTAAAAAATAGTGACAAGTTACAAATAACTGCATCTCTATGGTATTTTTATTCTAAGATTTTCATTCTTATACCTGTGTATCCATTTTTCTAGTTCGTCTTGATTAAACCAAATGAGAAGGTCTACATTAGAGTAAAATGTCTCGTATTTCATACGATATGTGTTCAGTAAATATCTTAAGGAAATTTGAAATTGTGAATTGTGTTTTAAAACAGAATGACTGCCGGCTTGCTGGTTCTTCTCCTATCCCTGTTTGTTGTAGCGTCTCTCACAAAAAGAAAAGATAGTTTTGTAAATGAAGAGCTACCATTGCATCTATTACAGGTCAGTTACAGATTTTTGACACTATGGTATACTAATGATACACCAAAATGTATCTTATGGTTGTATTTCATTATGTTGTTACTGTGATGCTATCATATTTACTGTACTCAGTACCTGCCAGCTGAGAAGAAAGTTTTCTGTTTAAGGTATTACGTGGAAATATATTTTCTAAAAGGTATGAAATAACAAAAAGGTCTAAAGGGGGCAGCCCAAAGATGCCCAGAGAGCAGAGGTTAAGGAGACTTAAGAGGCATCTGTATTGACCAAAAAGCTGAGCTGAAAAGGGCCTCCTTTAGACTTGAGATTCTATGTTGTTTTCATTTGGGTCAGGAAAAAGGTAAGCTTCTTTAAAGTGAAAGCAGCCTTTGAGTATATTTATGTGAAGAATAGCCAGTGTAAGACTAAAGACAAGTCCTAGGAGAAAATAAACGTTACCTTGGTTAGTGGCTTTGGTGTGTTGAAGAGAACTTTGAACTTGACATTTCAAAATTGAGACAGTTCCTGGTTATGCTGCATACTAGATGTGTGATTTTTAGTAATTTAACTTCAGTTTGTTTTTAATGGGTAAAGTGGAGATAATAACTAGTAGGGTTGTGAGCGATAGAGATTATATAATGTCATTCTGTAAAATTATAGCTTTTTTGTAGGTAAGAATGGAAACTACTTTTTTCTTTTAAACAATAAAAAATTTTAAAAACCTATCTAGACCACTAATTAAAAACAAAATAACTTATATGAGTCTTCCCAAAATATTTCCTCAGAACAAAGCTGGAATAATAATAGAAAGTATTTCCAAGAATAGTCTGAAATAAAATATATAACACTTAATAGATGTTAATTCATCCTTAGAGGACAGAGAACATATAAAAAGAGAAGAAATATTTTGTCAAAGCTCCTATCAAACCATTGGAACATGTCTTTCATTTTAAATGGTACACTGCCTGGCTTTACGCTAAAGCTCATGGTAGCACTGACAGAATTCACCTATAATAGTACTTTGACAGAAGTGAGTGTTTCTGAATCTCACTCTATAGGAGCAAAGAATGTCATGTTAAAATTCCTATGGGCTTTGTTAGAAATACCCCTAAGTATAGGTAAATCTGTTAAGAAATTCCTTTTTACATTAACTTTATTAATTTGCATTTATTCCTCTACTGTGTAGCATATTTTTCATTGATTCCAAGACAAATATCTTTTCACATTTTAACGTCTCTGAAATGAGATTGTCTTCCAGTTGAAAGGATCCTGGAATTGTGTTGTAGCTTTATTGACAAGGTTTTTTCCTTCTTAATTCACTGAAAATATGAGGGAATTAAATATATCTCTAGGATTTGGTGATGAGGTTGCTAATCTGATCTCTAAGAGAGTTTACTTTGTTCACAGCTATATCTTAGCTCACTTCTTAAAATGGCAGTTAATCCACCAGTTCAGGGGTCAGCAAACATTCTTCTAAAGAACCAGATTGTAAACATTTTAGGCTATGGGTCATATGGAGTCTGTTGTAAAATTTTCAACTCTACAATTGTAGTGCAAAGGGAGCTAGCTGTAGACAACACATAAATGAATGGGCATGACAATGTTCAATAATACAGTATTTCTAAAAGCAGGCTGCCAGCCTACAAGCCGTAGCTTACCAACTCTACGCTAGTTTATATATATTCCCTGAAGAATATTGTAGTCCTTGTATTCCCAGTACCAGGTGAATACTCAGGCTGCAAATATGTGTTGAATGAATAATGCGGGTGAGGGCCAGAAGACACTAAACCATATACATTTCGCCCTCTGCGTTTCCATGATTTAAGAAACCTTCAAAGTTCATAATGAATATTTCTGTTCACTATGTGATAGTGTGTGCCAAAACAGTGTGATAATGTTTGCCACAATACTCCTGAAAGTGTAAAATGCCTCATTTCATGCTTGTAGAGGAGGACCTTTGCTTGCTACAAGAGTTGTAACTCTTGGTTACAGAGAAGGTGAGCTGTCCAATTTCAATAGCGTTTTGGCCAGATTCCGGTTGTTCAAGCACTTTTCTAAGTATTCTTTCTACTATATAAATTAGTCTCTCAACACCTTCTCTTTTATTTATGTGTTTTGTATTTTTTTTCAGATGCTGAGCATGGTGCTTTCCATGTACGTTGTGTATAGCACCGATAATAGTCTACTCAAGAAACAAGGACTTCCTCTTATTAACCAGATCATTAGCTGGATAATATTAGGTAAGAGGTCAATCAAACCAAATGAGATAACTTTATATTAAGTCATATCTTAAAATTACCCATTTATATCTGTATTATTGTTATTCAAAGAAATAATTTTGTTGCAGGAAAATAATAATAACCAGCTTTTGCTTCTATCTTTTGCTGGAATTTGACAAAGAAAATTAGAACTTTTGTGAGCATTCGTGTGTTAATAAAAATTAATATAGAATATTTATGACCTGATAATAAGGGTGTATTTTTATTCTCATCTGATAAAAATCTAAGTGATTCCAGAGGAAAAGAGGGTTTTGTGATGAGATTCTTCTGCTGAAATTTTGTGTCAGTTCGTAAATTCTCAGTTTTTACACAGGGACTTGGAAACGGTTAAGTTTTATCTTTATTTCTCTTGCTGAAAATAACATTGATCAGTCACCTCCCAACACATTACACATTTTATAAGGCAGTTGCACGTTCCAGAACGTATTTCTCTGCAGGACTCTTACTTAACAGAGCTGGAGTATGCGTGTGAAGCAGACACGTGATGTAAGGAGAGGACGGGAGCTAGCTTTAAGTCCGGGATTTTCGTTTAAAAAAAATGACACTTTGTAATGCCTGTGGGTGATGTGATGTGCACTGTAACTTTTATCTTTTTTAAAATAATTTTGTTGTTCATCATTAAAAAAGAAAAAGATTTTGGATAGAACTTTGTCTTAAAAAGTGGATTAAAAGATGAGTGTTTTTCCTTGGATTCCTCTTAAAATCCAAGCAGAGGCTTAAAAATACGACAGGAAGCAGACATGTATCTCCTAAAATTTTGATTTGCTCCTGTTCCAAACCCCTTGGTCGGCGTTTAAGTGGCAGTTATTCTTGGACAGTAACTGCTGTCATCATATATATAACTTCATTTTCACCACGTAAGCTTCATTTCATTATAGGCACTCTGCAGGCCTTCCCTTTTATATTATCTCGATCAATAAAGTTCCTGTTTGCATTCATTCTGCATGAACAATATCAATGACTGTTCCTTCACTTTAAAAATTGTGTGCAGGGCTGGCCCGGTGGCGCAGCGGTTAAGTTCACACGGTCCGCTTCTCAGTGGCCCGGGGTTTGCCGGTTCAGATCCCGGGTGCGGACATGGCACCACTGGGCAAGCCATACTGTGGCAGGCGTCTCACATGTAAAGTGGAGGAAGATGGGCACGGATGTTAGCTCAGGGCCAGGCTTCCTCAGCAAAAAGAGGAGGATTGGCAGTAGATGTTAGCTCAAGGCTAATCTTCCTCAAAAAAAAAATTGTGTTCAGTTTGTACTATGTTCTGGCATGTTCTGTCCCCTGAGAATAATAAAGATAGACTCAGTCCCTGCTCTCCTAGAGCTCACATTCTGCAGAGACAGGTGGGCTGGTATTCTAGTGAGGTAACTGTGTAACGATGTCTCATATGACATATTAGTTTTCAAATCCACAGAAAAACCAAAAGTTATGAATGAGAACTACAATATTATAGGAAGTCTTGGGCCAGCCCCAGTGGCCTAGTGGTTCGGCACATTCCACGTCGGCGGCCCGGGTTTGGTTCCCGGGTGTGGACCTGCACCATTCATCTGTTGGTGTCCATGCTGTGGCGGTGGCCTAGGTACAAAATAGAGGAGGATTGACAACAGATGCTAGGTCAGGGCAAATTTTCCTCAGCAAAAAAAGAGGAAGATTGGCAGAGATTTTAGGTCAGGGTGAATCTTCCTCAGCAAAAAAAATAAATAGTAAAAAAGGAAAGTTTTTCTCTTATACCACATAACTTTGCAACTGTGCAAACATGTACAACACACACCAGCAGATAAATAATATATGGCAAATAATAAATAGGAGATCAGGTATACATAAGTAGCAGCCCAGCTTTTACTTACCACGTAACCTCATTTCTTTGTAGTGTAGCCTGGCCCAACTCTTTAGTATTCTTACCCACCTAGTGATAAACCACAAGGAGGAAGAGAAGCAAAGAAAACAGAATTTTTGCATCTATCATTGTATCTCATTTTTAGACATCTAAAACTTCTAAAAAGGTAAAAAAAACATTTACCAGAATTAAAGAAAGCCATCCTCCACTTTGTATGCTTGTTCCTTATCTGTGTTTCTGAGTGTATGTAAGGGTAAAAGTTTTTAAACACTATATTCAATATTTTTGTGTATTCTACCATTCATATATTAATTTTTCAGTTGACCTAGTAACGTTCTTTATGGCATTTTCCCATTCTTTGTCTTTTATGACGTTGACTTTTTAAGAATATAGCCAATCCCAACTCCCCTGCTGCAGACTGTTACTCAGTTTACATTTGTCTGATGTTTCCCTGTAATTAAACTGAGGTTATACACTACTGGCCAGAATACTGCGTAAGTGATGTTGTATCCTTCTTAGAGTCGCATTTGGAGCCACGTGATCCTATCTGTCCCTTGTTGGTGATGTTAATTTCCATCACCCTGTCAAGGTATTGCCCAGTTTTTTCACTGTATATTTGCTGTTTTTCCCCTTCCCTTGCAACTAATAAGCTGTCTGTGGGGAGACAGACAGATCCTCAAAGACCATCAAATATCTTTCTTATCAAAATTTCTCCCTAGATTTAGCATCCATTCATAAGTCTTTCCTGATCCAGTCTTTGTCATGATGGCTGCAGAAGGATGATTTTCTGGCTCCAGCACTCCCATTGCATTTACCAGAAGGCTCTCAGCATTCTACTGTGAGAATCCTTCCTTCTTTCCTATTCATCCATCCTTCATTTAGTCACTTCTCTGTTTATTGTTGTTGTAGACTTGTGAGCTCCTATGTTTTCAAAGGTTTATACTTATTACTGTTGATACTTTGGTGCTCAAATTGTCCCAGACTTGGCCAGAGAGAGCCCCTTCAAGGTAGCTTGTAAATAGGCCCCCATAATTTTTTTGAGTACTTTCTTACTTTCTGGCATTAAGGTGTTTACCTTACAAGGCTTACCTTATATCCACCATGCCCCAACTCTGAAATCAGTTCTTTCTCTGAGGGGCAATAGCTCTTTTTATTGGGTTAATGGCATTAGAGACCAAGATCTGAGTGCTAGTTGTATTCATCATTACCTAGTTATCTTTGCTTCTTTGCCGTTCAGTGGACAACTAGGAGATACATGCATGTGTATAATATATATATATGTATACCTACTATTACATATAAATATGTACACACACATACATTTTTCACATGTATATATAGTGTGCACATAAACATGCAGATATACGTACCTATACATATTTTAGAGACCATAAGTCCACACTGATACCTCTAATTCTACCTATCCACACAGAGTTCTTTCTTGCCTTTCTCTGTTCCATGTTTATATGCCCCTCCTTCCACAGTGATAACCCTGGCTTCCCAAAACATCAACACATTTACTCATTTGTTCAATCCTGTAATACATTTAAAATAATTTAAGAACTGTTTCACCCATATCATTACAATAAACAAACCTACTATTATTCAGGATTTGTTTGCAATTCTCACTTTGCCCACCGCATTCCACCCTGCCCAAGACCAAGGTTTTTGGTTAAATACTATGCCATAGTTGGATGGGCTCGCTTGCCTGCCTTCCTTCCTCTCTTCCTTCTTCCCTCCCTCCCTCCCTTCCTCCATTTTGTTCATTGTGATTTTGGTATTTATTTGTAATATAACTAGGTTTGTTTGTTTCAGTTTGCTTTCTGTTTTTAGGTGCTTTTTCTTTCCCTTTCTTTTTGATTTAGTTTTTTGTATATGTAGAATATTCACATGCTTTCAAACATAGAACCTATACAAAAACATATGCTCAAAAAAGTGCTGCCTGTATTACCACCCACCATTCTCCCCTGCCCCTAGTCCCTCATGGGTAACCTTTGTTGCTTTCCGGTTATGTGTTTCTCTTTGCAATGGTAAACAGATGTAGGTTTGTGTTCTTATTTTTTCTTCTTCCTTACACAAAAGGTAGCATATATCTTCTTTTTTACTTCGCATCTTTCACTTAATAATATCTCCTAGTAATCACTCCATATCAATTCATAGAGCTCTTTATTTTTACAGCTATTTAGTTTTCCATTGTGTGTATATTCCATTGTTTATTTAACCAATCTTCTATGCTTTCATGTTCAGGTAAGTAATGATTTTTTAAAAAATGGCAAATCATCTTGCAATGAATAACACTGAGCATATGCATATTCATATTGTTAGAGGTGTATTTTCAGGATAAATTCCTAGAAGTTGGATTACTGATTCAAAGGGGCAATGCATATGTAGTACTTTTAGATATTGCTAAATTCCCCTCCAGAGGTGGTGTACTATTTTTCATTCCTGCCAGCAAGATATGAGTGCCTATTTCTCCATAGCCTCACCAATGTCTTTTGAATTTATGCTAATCAATAAATTTATACCAATGCCAATCAATTATTTTCAAGCTTTCGAATTTATGCCAATTTTATGTTTGAGAAATGGCATCTTTGTTTTTAATTTGAATTTTTCTTATTGTGAGTGAAGTCAAACATCTTTTCATGTGCTGAAGGGCCATTTTTATATCTCTTTTTGGGAATTATCCATTCATCTCTGTTCCCTAGTTTTCTATAGAATTTTTGGTCCTTTGCTTCCATTTTTAAAAGTTCTTTATAAATTAGGGATATTAGTCCTTTACCTGTGAGATATATATATGTCAAAATTTTTTCCCCAGTTTGTCATTTATCTTTTGACTATGCTTATGATGTCTTTTGCCATGCAAAAGATTTTTATTTTTGTGTAATCAGTCTTCCTCTTTTAATGCATCTGCATTTTTAGTCACAGAAAGCTTTTCCTGATAACTAGGTTATAGAGGAATTCACTCATGTTTTCTTGTAGTACTTGTATGCTTTTGTCTTTCATATTTCAATCCTTGATCCATTTAGAGTGTGTTCTTCTGTATCATTTAAGGAAGTGGTCTAGTTTTATTTTTTTCCAAATGGCTACCCAGTTGTTCCAATATATATTTTTTAAAGATTTTTATTTTTTCTT